TCTCTCTCTCTCTCTCTCTCTCTCTCTCTCTCTCTCTCTCTCTCTCTTACATGCTGACACAGATGTAGAACTCCCAGCTACTTCTTCCTTCCTGGCATGTTTAACAATGAACTAAACCTTTGAACTGTAAGCCAGTAGCAATAAAATATTTTCTTTTATAAAAGTTGCCATGGTCATGGTATCCCTTCACCTTAATAAAACTCTAACAGAGGCAGATGTTTTGGACTCAGAATTTAACATTATTAGTGATTTCCCTCAAAATCCTCATCAAGATTAAGATTATAAGGATTACCATTTTCTGTTTCCATTCTGTTGTTAAGGCTTTAGACATGATTACAATTCACACAGAAAGAGAACCCTATTTAATGATGTTAAGCTCTTTCCCACGTCTAAACCCCTTTATTCAGTAATAGTTGGAAGATCAATGAGACCTTTAAAGCTGTCACTGGCTTTGACGCTACCCTGTTAGGCAACAAAAGCATAAAATGATAAACTTACATGAACTGAAAACTAATGAATTTGTTTTCCCTCATTTATATATACTCATTGTATTTTATTTTCTTTCACTTTTTTTTTATATTTTGAAGAGCATTGATGAGGAAACACAATATGCTTGAATTGCTATGGGTAATTCCTTTATTTCTGTTGTCTTCACTCTAAAGATCCTGGCACAATAATTGCTCATTATTTATTCCCAGTGGATTACATAAGAAATGTGTAAGTGGATTGCAAATGAACAAGCAACATGTTTACTCTTAAACAGAGCTATAAATTAAGCTGCAATTAATAGATAGTTTTGTCTTCTTTTACTCTCTTAGTTCTGTTTCCTGGATGTTCAGTCATTAGATCAAATTAGCTGAAGTTTTGAGAAGTCATTAAATATACTTCCTTCTACTCCCTTTGATTTAGAGTTGATTTAAATTGCCCATTTGTTCAAGTTGTTGCTTAGGTTGTAAAAATCAAGAGTATAAAATTTATAATGGCAATTTTTGGCTTTGTTGGTCATTTTTAAAATATACAGACACATGCCATGTTAAATCCAAATTAGAAACTTTCATCACTCATAATTTCACATTAACACTATATTTTTTCTTGCAGCAACTCTATCACAATTTCCCCCCCTGATTGGGTACCCTCTGGCTAAGCAATTTTCTACATTCAGTCCAGCCTCTCTCTTGTATCAGCACTAGGCACACTCTCAATTGCCCTCCTCATTAAAACTATAACTACTTGTTTGTGTAACATAATTGTCACATTAATCCTATATTAACGTTTTCATCTGTGGTGTTTTTCTGAATGCACTTCATTTACACATAAATATAACATATCATGAAACTAAAGCTGCTGAGTACATGATTCACCTGTGCTGCACATATTAATATCAATACAAGTGCTATTACCTGTGTTTAACTATATGCTATAGAAAAATAAATAAATACATACATACATACACACACACACATATATGTATACACAAACAGAAGTAGCATTGTCCTTAGAAATTAGCATATCGCCACAGTATGATATAATACACAAGACAGATAGTCATTGTGTTACCTTGCATATTTACCTGAGCTTAGAAACTATCTTCATTTAGAATTGTGCATCTGTATAGCCTTATTATCTTTTATAGTTATATAGAAGCGCCTTGGGTATAGATGTGCAAAAAGTGTTTGGAATTACTGTGAAAACCATGTAAACAATGTATAACATTACTCAGAGTTGCTGAAACTCTTTCCAAGAATTAGAGAAAATTTGGACTGCTTTACAGCAAAAAGAGCAGAGGAAAGAAATAAAAATGAATGAACTGGGAAGGATGGGGTTTAGCAACAAAAAAGGTACATAACTGTTTAATTTCTTACTGACGTTAAGAGATGTTCTTTATTAGATGTTCTTACGTTTGGATCAGTAGAAAGCTTTTGTTCATCCCTGCAACACATTTCAGTTTCATTTACTAGGTTTGTGCTTTCTCACATTACGTATAGTGGTGATATTATTGTTCAGAATTACTAAAGTAATTTGTTTAAGAAAATTGAAGAGGAGAACGTGAGGAATCAAGATAAATGCATTTGCCTGGTACTAATATTAGATAAACTCACAGTGGTTGCTTTACCTTGGAATTTTTACTTCATTAATTTTTAAAAATTTTTACATTTTTTTACTAATATTTCTATTTGTGGTGTCAATGTTGCTAGAAGCTCCATGTGTAAATCTTTACTATATTTATCTGACAATAAGTTATCCTCATCTTAATTGGCATTTAGCATTAGTATTTTGCTTGAAAAAACAGATAATGAGGGTCATCTGGGAATAGTGCCAAACAGCAATGTATTTAACTATCACAATATGCTTAAACCCTTTTAAAAAAGACAAAAAGAGAACTTTTGTAAATTAAGAAAAATGTACAAATGTACTTATAGCCAATAACATCTTTTACAAATTGCACATTTGTGAAGCACATTTCCAGAACCTAATAGTTTCTTACAAGCAAAACAAACAAACAAAAACCAAACAAACAAAAAACCTGGTT